TGCGCCTCCCTGCGGGTGGGCGGGGCCAGAGCCTGAGCTGAGCGACTCCGCGATGGGGGCGGGGCCGAGCCCGGCGGCCAGGCCTGTGCAGGGACAGAGGGAGCGAGGGGGCAGCCCCGGGTCCCCGCACCTCCTCCCACAGGGACAGCCCTTCCTGGGGGAGTTTCCCACGTCATTGTCAGGGTTTTGGCTGGTGACGCGGCTGCGAAAGGATTCACAAGGGAGAGAAGAGACAGGAGCAGAGGGAGGACGTTTATTTTACTTCTTTAAAGGGAGGAAAGGGCCAGGGGCCCTCTGATGGCACAAGGAACCCCAGATAGAGGGGCTGTTCCTTTATTAGGGTGCTAGAGAGTAAATGGCAGCTGTGGCAAAAGCATAAGGAGGGAGGAGGAACCTGGAATTCACACAGAAGTTTCCCTGATCCCAGAGGCTGTGCTTAGAGCTACTGGCTGGTCTGCCCTTCCGCTGCAGGTGTCCCAGGGAGGGGTCTTTCCCAGGATCTTCACAAGCCGGGAGCACATTCTTACAGTGAAATTACAGGGAACTCAAAAGGCGGGCAGATTGGGTTTGAAACCAGAACTTTCTGCCTGCGATTTGCCTGGATCCTTAAACCCTCAGTGAGGAGCGGGGAGGGGAAGGGCAGCCTGCTCTCTCAGCCCCTCCCTGTCTCCCCAAGTGAAGGGAGAGGCAGCTTGACTTAGGGAAGCAGGTGGATGGGGGTGTCAGAGACAGACCCAGATATCCATTCATGGTTGGGCACCTGATGACATAATGTCCCATTCAACATAGTGGGAAACAGATTTTAATTCATGTATTTTTCAAGGGATAAAAATTTCCTGGTTTTAAGTTGTGGTCTTTGAAGTCTTTGTGTTCTTGCAATCATTTTTATTTTTTTTAAAGATAATTTTTTTATATTTTATTGATTATTTATTGCCGAACCGGTTTGGCTCAGTGGATAGAGTGTCGGCCTGCGGACTCAAGGGTCCCAGGTTCGATTCCGGTTAAGGGCATGTATCTTGGTTGCAGGCACATCCTCACTGGGGGGCGTGCAGGAGGCAGCTGGTCGATGTTTCTCTCTCATGGATGTTTCTAACTCTCTATCCCTCTCCCTTCTTCTCTGTAGAAAATCAATAAAATATATTAAAAAATAAAAAAAATATATATATTTTATTGATTATTTATAGAGAGGGAGAGGGATAGTTAGAAACATAGATGAGAGAGAAACATTAATCAGTTGCCTCCCCGACACCCCTTATGGGGGATGTGCCCGAAACCAAGGTGGGGAGGAGCTTGAACCCAAGTATATGACTGCAATTGGAATTCATGTAAGCACTTTAAAGAAACAAAAATTTGCAATGGTCTGTGTGAGGATGAAGAACTGGAAGGTGAAACCACAACTCTCCCTGGCTAGATGGGCAATTTGATACTCACACCAGCAGCCTTTCCTGCTCCCTTCCTCATTCCCCTGGGCGACCAAGACTCAACATGACTGAATTCCAGAGTCCTTCAGAGGGACAGAATCTGGGATATGAGACTTGGATGACTAAGACATGTGATCATTTAGGACAATAGCATTGCTTAAAAATGAACCTTTTAAAGAACACTTATAAACTGCATTACTGTAACAAATGTTGTTTCCAACACTTGAATTAAATTACCTTAAATGCTGTTTTTTCACAACACACCGTATGTTATTTCATGAAGCATTTGGATATAACACCTTTTCCAAAATTAAGTACACATAAAAATAAACATTTCTTGCCAACACCAGTTTGGCTCAGTGGATAGAGCGTCGGCCGGCGGACTGAGGGGTCCCAGGTTTGATTCAGGTCAAGGGCATGTACCTTGGTTGCGGGCACATCCCCAGTAGGGGGCGTGCAGGAGGCAGCTGATCGATGTTTCTCTCTCATCGATGTTTCTAACTCTCTATCCCTGTCCCTTCCTCTCTGTAAAAAATCAATAAAATAGATTTAAATAAATAAATAAACATTTCTGACTTATCAAAAAGACATTGAGCCCTAACCAGTTTGGCTCAGAGTGTCAGCCTATGGACTGAAGGGTCCTAGGTTCGATTCCAGTAAAGGGCATGTACCTTGGTTGCAGGCACCTCCCCAGTAGGGGGTGTGCAGGAGGCAGCTGATCGATGTTTCTCTCTCATTGATGTTTCTAACTCTCTATCCTTCTCCCTTCCTCTCTGTGAAAAATGAATAAAATATATTTTTTTAAAAAGACATTGAACTGTCCTTTCCTGATAATATTATCTATAGAAAAATTCAAGAATATGTACAAACAGGTTATTTGATCTCCTTTCATAAGGACCACACTTCTATCAGATGAGGACACCCCCTCTTGTGACCTCATATAATCTTAATGACTTCCCTAAGCACCCTATCTACAAATACAGACATATTGGGGGTTAGGGCTTCAAAATATCCATTTTTCAGGGGACACATTTCAGTCCTCAACAGTCTCAAGTGCATTATCTGTTATATAAAACCATCCCAAAATGGATTCTTTTTTTTTTTTTCTTAACATATTTTTATTGATGTCAGAGAGGAAGGAAGAGGGATAGAAACATCAAGGATGAGAGATAATCATTGATTGGCTTCCTCCTGCAAGCCCACACTGGGGATTAAGCTCACAACCTGGGCACGTGCTTTTTCAGATCCCAGGCCAACGCTCTATCCACTGAGCCAAACTGGCTAGGTCAAAAATGAATTCTCTTAATGGAACAATACTTCAATATTTCTTCTGAGTCTATGGGTTGGCCAGGTGGTTGTTCTGCTTCATGTGCTATTGACAAAAGATTTGTCAACTTTTTCACAAGATCAAAACATGATTTCCCAAAACAAAACAAACAGATGTTTTCCTGTCCCTCCAGACTTCAATCCCAGGTCCCTCGCATGCATCGTCCACTAACAGTCTCCTTCCAGTGAAAGTTATTGGAAAACAAGCTAACTGATTTTCACAGGATGAAGGAGAGGCTAGCAGAGCTTAGCACTGAACTTCTGGAGAAACAGATGGACAGACTATTGCTCAGCAAGAGAAATACTACTCCAAGAGGAAACTTGGACAGTGCTACCTCAAGGCCATGCAGTTCAACTTACTGCAGGAATGCAGGCCAGCGTATCCATGCCTTCTACCAGCTTATCCATGCCAGCTTCAGTCAGGCTGCCTTTGGATCCCCAGCATTTGAAACCTGGTCACTAGGGGACACTATGAGCTCCGGTTTCCTCCAAGACACCACCTCTTCCCCTGGAAGGCCTCTGTAACAGATGTGGCAGGAGCATTGAGAAACCCTAATTAGAGAACTAAAAGAAGATGCTGCAAAATTTAAAGCTGAATCCTATAGAGCTTGTGCTGTAGGATCAATCAGTCAGTCAAGTTCATGTCAAGATCTGCTTTTTTTTTTTTTTAATATATTTTATTGATTTTTTACAGAGAGGAAGGGACAGGGATAGAGAGTTAGAAACATCGATGAGAGAGAAACATCGATCAGCTGCCTCCTGCACATCTCCCACTGGGGATGTGCCCGCAACCCAGGTACATGCCCTTGACCGGAATCGAACCCGGGACCCTTCAGTCCGCAGGCTGACGCTCTATCCACTGAGCCAAACCGGTTAGGGCATCATGAACCCTTCTTGATGCTGGGCAAGAACCCCAGGAGAGTACAGTGTGTAATAAACATTCAAATTTTGAACAATACTTGAAAGTCACTTCGGCTGTCTATCTAGTGTGAATTCAGTCATACTTTGAAATCCATAATCAATTATATACTTAGATAACGTTTTTACATCTTTAAAGTCACTTTGAGGCATAAATTCCTTGGAGTTTTATAAACTGAACATTTTGAACAAAAGTCCCTCCTCCTATAACATGAATGTAGAATTTGTATCCAATTAAAATACCTGATACTGACTGAGGCTGTAGGTCCAAGTATATGATTTCCCACATTCTTCAGATTTAAGGTATCCCTCTAGAACAGTGGTTCTCAACCTTCCTAATGCCATGACCCTTTAATACAGTTCCTCATGTTTTGGTGACCCCCAGTATCATTGTTACAAATTGAATGTAATTAAAGCAGTTATTAATCACAAAAACAATATGTAATTATATATGTGTTTTCTGATGGTCTTAGGTGACCCCTGTGAAAGGGTCGTTTGAGTCCCAAAGGGGGTCGCGACCCACAGGTTGAGAACCGCTGCTCTAGAATGAATTCCAATGTGAGAATTAAGCTTCGGATGCTGATTAAAGACTTTAGGATGTTACATTTGTATTGTTTCTCCCCAGTATGAATTCTGATGTCGGTTAAAGTTTACATTACGGGACCACACCAAGACACATCATAATTAAAATGCCAAGAGCAAAAGATAAAGAGAGAATCTTAAAAGCAGCAAGAGAAAGACAGTCAGTTACCTACAAGGGAGTACCCATACGACTGTCAGCTGATTTCTCAACAGAAACCATGCAGGCCAGAAGAGAGTGGCAAGAAATATTCAAAGTGATGAATAGCAAGAACCTGCAACCAAGATTACTTTATCCAGCAAAGCTATCATTCAGAATTGAAGGTCAGAGAAAGAGCTTCACGGATAAGAAAAAGCTAAAGGAGTTCATCACCACCAAACCAGCATTATATGAAATGCTGAAAGGTATTCTTTAAGAAGAGGAAGAAGAAAAAGGAACTCTTACCATTTGCCACAGCATGGATGGAACTGGAGAGCGGATAAATACCACATGATCTCACTCATTTGTGGAATATAATGAACAACATAAGCTGATGAACAAGGACTGATCCAGAGACGGAGAGGCATTGATTGGACTGTCGGGACTTGGAGGGAAGGTAGGGGAGGGTGGGGGTAAGAGGGAAAGATCAACCAAAGGACTTATATGCAAGCATATAGGCCTAATCAATGGACATGGACAACGGGGGGGTGAGGGCATGAGCGGGGGGGGCGGGGGGGGGTAGAGGGTAACGTGGGGACAAGGACACATATGTAATATCTTAATCAATAAAAAATATATTTAAAAAAATTAAAAAAAAAAAGTTTACATTATGGGTAAGCTTCGTCACATTCTTTATATCTGCGGGAATTCGATCCAGTAATAATCATACAATGTTGTATGAGATATGAGGATATACACTTTAACATATGCCTGATAATTTATAAGACCTTATTTATCATTCTCAATGTAGCTTCAACCTTTGAAGCTTAAATCCTTAGATGAAAACTTTATATTATTGCTGTTTCGCTTTAGAATGATTCCTAAAATGTTGAGCAGGTTAGACCACAAGTTAAAGGCTTTCTCACATTTTCTACAGTGTAAGGTTTCCCTCCACTGTAAAATCTCTAATGTGCAGTGAATTTTGAGCTGTGAGTAAAGGCTCCAGCCCACTGTCTACATCTGTATGTTCTCTTTTTAGTATAAAGTCTCTCAGGTACAGTAAGATATAAATGCCTTATAAAACCTTTTCTACATTTTTCACCTTCGTAAGGCTTCTTGCCAGTATCAATTCTGTGATGTTCTGTAAGTTCTCACAGCTGGTAAAGGACTTACAACACTCCTCACATCTGTAAGTCTTCTCTCAAGTATGAACTCTGCTGTACAATAAGGCAGAAACAGTGATGAAAGGCCATTATATCCTCTACATTTATAAGGCTTCTCTCAAGTGTGAACTCTCTGATGCTTAGTAAGGGATGCAGACCTGCCAAACGATTTGCCACATTCTCTACATTTATAAGGCTTCTCTCCAGTGTGAACTCTCTGGTGCTTAGTAAGATCTGAGGAGCTGACAAAGGCTTTGCCACATTCTCTACATGTATAAGGCTTCTCTCCTGAATGAATTCTCTGATGTGCAATAAGATTTGAAGACCTGCTAAAGGCTTTCCCACATTCTCTACATTTATATGGTTTCTCTCCAGTGTGAACTTTCTGATGTGCAATAAGATTTGAGGTCCTGCTAAAGGCTTTGCCACATTCTCTACATTTATAAGGCTTCTCTCCAGTATGAATGCTCTGATGATTAGTAAGGGATGAGAACCGGCTAAAGGCTTTGCCACATTCTCTACATTTATAAGGCTTCTCTCCAGTATGAATAAGCTGATGACGATTAAAATCTGAGTAGTAGCTAAAGGTTTTGCAACACACTTTACATTTATAAGGCTTTTCTCCACAGTGAACTCTCTGATGATAAGTAAAGTGTGAGGACCGGCCAAAGGCTTTGCCACATGCTCTACATTTATAAACCTTATCTCCGGTATGAAGTCTTTGATGTACCTTAAGGGAGGAGGAAGATCTAAAGGCTTTGCCACATTCTCTACATTTATAAGGCTTCTCTCCAGTATGAACTCTCTGATGGTAAGTAAGGACTGAGGACTGGCTAAAGGCTTTGCCACATTCTCTACATTTATAAGGCTTCTCTCCAGAATGAACTCTTTGATGACAAGTAAGGTGTGAGGACCGGGTAAAGGCTTTGCCACATTCTCTACATTTGTGAGGTTTCTCTCCAGTATGAACTTTCTTATGTCGAATCATGTTTGAGGCGTGGAGGAATGCTTGACCACATTCTCTACATTTATAAGGCCTATCTTCAGTATGAACACTCTGATGATTAGTAAGAACTGCATGGTTTTTAAAGGATTTGCCACATTCTCTACATTTATAAGGGTTTTCTCCAGTGTGAATTCTCGGATGAAAAATACGGGCTGAGGGCCGGCTAAAGATTTTGTGACATTCTGAACATTTACAAAACCTTTCTTCCCTATGATTTCTATGATGTTGAGTATGTATTGAGGACTGACTAAAGACTTTTTCATTTTCCCTAAGTTTGTAAAATTTTGCTTTAGTGTGAATTATTCCCTTATGTACAATAAGAGAAGAATGACATTTAAAGGCTTTGCCACATGCTTTACATTTGTAAGGCTTCTCTCCAGTATAAATTCTCTGATTTAGAGTATAACCTGAAGGCCAATAAGATGTTTTACCAAAATCTTTACATTTATCAGGTTCTTCTCCCCTATGGATTTTTTTGCATCTATTTAGATTGAATAATTGACTGCAGACTCTCCCACACGGATTCCATTTGTGAGCCTGCTCCCTAGTATGAATATTCTCTTGTTCATCATCATTTGAAGGCTGCAGAAAAGACTGGACACATTTACTTCCTTTGTGTGTCTTCTCCACAATAGGAATAACCTGATGTATGTTGAGACTGGACATTTGATCAATGACTTTTCCACTTTTATGATGCTCCTCTGTCAGCTCACTTGTCCGATGACTAAGATATGACTCTAGCTTCATGTTTTTCCAATGTTCAATCCATTGATAACTTCTATCTTCATTATGTGTACTCTGGTGATTATGGGAGATAGAAAGACCTTTAGTGACAGTTATAATTTCATTAAACATGTACACTTGTTCCATAAAAACAATTTTGTGATACACATGAAACCAAGATGGTTGTATAACAAAAGCTTTCCTAATATATTAGACAAAAAATAAATATAAAACATTATTGTCAGAGGAAGAAAGATGAATCCTTGTTTGAAAGATTACCAAATTGTCCTAGCTGGTTTGACTCAGTGGATAGGGCATTGGCCTGCAGACTGAAGGGTCCTGGGTTTGATTTCAGTCAGGGGCACAAGCCTGTGTTGTAGGTTCTATCCCCAGTAGGGGGCGTGCCAAAGGCAGCCGATCAATGATTCTTTCTCATGATTGATGTTTTTCTCTCTCCCTATCTCTCCCTCTCTGAAATCATTAAAAATATTCTTTAAAATAACAATCATAAAAATGAATAAACAAAGGTTTACTAAATTGCCCTACCAGCATGGCTCAGTGGTTGAGCTTTGACATATGAATAAGGAGATCACAGTTCCATTCCTCAGTAAGGGCACATTGCCTGGCTGCCAGATTAGTCCCTAGTGGGAGGCATGCAGGAGGCCGCCAATGAATGATTGTTTTTCATCACAGATGTTTTTCTCTCCCTCTTCCTTTCTCTTACTCACTGAAATCAATTAAAACATATTTTTTAATTGAAAAAAATCATAAAACATTGCCAAATTGAGCACATTTTAATTTTATAGGTACATTATAAATCTATATATTTTAGAAATGATTGACGAAGTTTAATCCCACCCTGCATTTTTAAACAACGCAAATTATTTACACTACAGACTATGCGAATTCCTAGTTTTTCCAGATTTCCTTTCCAAGAATGCATAACAGTAAAAATTTGTTTTCAACCTTCACGTGCACAAACACACTGATCGACCAATGTAACTGACTTCAAATTGGGAGGTTTCCCAAATTCATAATATACTTGACTTTTTTAGGTAAAAAGAAATTTATTATGATAATTTTTCCAAATTAGTTCTGTTTATATTAATATCCTCTGTTGTCATCACACTCTTCCTCAAATTTCAAGGCTTTCATTAAGTGTACATTATCACGTACACTTAGGAAGTATACACCTTTTATATCTTACCAGTATTATTTCAGAGAATAACTCTTGTATTCCGGGCTTTGGCATAAAGGCCTGGTTATCTTTAGGTGACATAGCTGAAAGAAAACAAATTTTTCGTTTTGGCAATCACGTGAGTGCACTTAGAGCTTACCAGCAAGTATTGAGCAAATAACATTTTCGAGTACTCCAAGAACCAGTGTAGGATTCAACAAAAGCTCAAGATAGGTACAACGAGGAAAACTCACATCAAAGAGGGACAAAGAGTTGCTTACATTTGCCAATGATACCTGCTCAAATCCCCTGGCACACAATGGCAATATTATAAAAACACTCCCAATTCCCAGTTTCTTCACTGGAGAGCGAGATGAGGGAAGTGCATTTGTGCATCTTCTATTTGTGGTGTTCTATTAAAGAAACACGCATCACTTTGATTTCTTTTGTGGAACTTTAGAAAATGAAAGGAATAATCTGAGTGGTGTGGCTCCGTGGATAAGGGTCCTACCTATGAACCAGAGGTCACAGTTTCATTACCGGTGAGGGCACATGCGTGTGTTGCGAGCTCATTCCCCAGTGTGGGGGAGCCAATCAATGATTCTCTCCATTATGGATATTTCTATATCTCTCCCCATCTCCTTCTTTGAAATTAAAAGGTGTTTTGAAAAAATAAAAAAATATATAAGAAGAATAAAATCTTAAATCTCTGCTGGCACACATTAAAGATAATGTGATATCAACGTATGTGTGTACATCGGTAAAAATGGCAATCTGCAGAGTTTTTGTATGCAGTTGACACTATGAGTTTAGGATACATTGTTATAACCTCAAGATATTTTAAGTAGTTCTCATGGTCACAAGAAAAAGAGAAAATAAAAATAGAAAATAAATACAATGGCCCTAGCTGGTTTGGCTCAGTGGATAGAGTGTCAGCCTGCGGACTGAAGGGTCCTGGATTCCATTCTGGCCAAATGCACATGCCTGGATTGTGGGCTCGATCCCCAGGAGGGGGTGTGGAGGAGGCAGATGATCAATGATTCTCTCTCATCATTGATGTTTCTATCTCTCTCTCCCTCTCCCTTCCTTTCTGAAATCAATAAAGAAATATACTTTTAAAAAATAATAAATAAAATGATCTCTCCTAAGATGTGATAGAATTCTGTATTGCAAATCACAGACTCCATATTTCTAAAAATTTAGATATAGATATAGAATTAATTTCTCAAAACATGCCATGTAAAACCACCCACAAAGTTAGCTGTGTTCCTGTAAGGTAACAAATATTAATACAAAATAACAAATTAAGTATGTATTTACATGAATAACAGCATAATTGAAAATGAAATATTAACAATTTACGTCCTAAGAAGGTGCACAACTTGTATGCTGTGAAGCATAAAATATTGCTTGGTGCCCTCTGCAGTGTGTCTCAGTGGTTACAGCATGGGCCCACCCACCAAATGGTTGCAGGTTTGATTCAAACCCCATTTGGGACATGTGAGGAAGCGAAACAACAATGTGTCTCTCTCGCATCGATATATATATATATATATATATATATATATATATATATATATATATATTTTATTAAATATATTTCTTTATTGATTTCAGAGAGGGAGAGGGAAGAGAGAGAATCATCAATGATGAGAGAGAATCACTGATCGGCTGCCTCCTGCCCGCCCCCTACTGGGGATCGAGCCCGCAACCTAGGCATGTGCCCTTGGCAGGAATCGAACTTGGGACCCTTTAGTCTGCAGGCTGACGCTCTATCCACTAAGCCAAGCCGGCTAGCGCCGGATCGATATATTGCTCTCTCTTTCTTTCAATCCCCCTCCCTCCTTTCCACTCTCTCTAAAATGCAATGGGAAAAGTAACATCAAGTGAGAAGTAACAAGAGAAAACACACACACACACACACACACACACACACACACACACACGAACACATTGGCTGGCTGTAATTAAACACCGAATCAGTATGTTGGAAAACACATTCCATGATCTGACTGAAATACTAACAGTATCAGCTGTCATTAGTACCCAAAGTGACCTAAACATTCAAAGCAATCCCTATTAAAGTCCCAATGACACTTTTGGTGGAAATAGAAAAGCTCTTTCCAAAATTAATGTGAATGTCACAGGACTCCATGTAACCAAGTGAATCATTAAAAGAATGTATGTAATTAAAGGCTTCAGGCTTCTTGATTTTAAAACATACTTCAAAGCTTCTGTTATCAAAAAAATTGTAATACAGCTCTAGCTGTAAGAAAACATTTATAAAAGTCAACTTGGCCAAGCTGGCACGGCTCAGCAGTTCAGTGTCGACCTATGAACCAAGATGTAACATTTTGAGTCCTACTCAGGGCACATGGCAGCCAATCAATGATACTCTCTGATCATTGATGTTTCTTTTTTTATATATATATATTTTATTGATTTTTTACAGAGAGGAAGGGAGAGAGATAGAGAGTTAGAAACATTAATCAGCCGCCTCCTGCACATCTCCTACAGGGGATGTGCCCGCAACCAAGGTACATGCCCTTTGACCAGAATCGAACCTGGGACCCTTCAGTCCGCAGGCCGACGCTCTATCCACTGAGCAAAACCAGCTTCAGCTGATCATTGATGTTTCTATCTCTCTGTCCTTCTCATCTTTTTCTCTGAAATCAATAAAAAAATCTATATATTGTCCGGGAGTTTGACCTGGAGAGCGGAGTTCGATCGCAACCTATGACGTGCACTAACCACCAGGGGGCGAACAGCAGAAGTGGTGGGGCTGTGAAGGAGGGAAGGAGGAGGCCAGGAGGCCAGGCCTGGGAACCCTACCCAGCATGCATTTTGTACTCCAGGCCTCTAGTGTGTGTGTGTGTGTGTGTGTGTGTGTGTGTGTGTGTGTGTGTATAAATAAAAAAGTCAACATACACAGGACAATTATGCAAAATAGACAAAGAAGTCTTCAAATTCAACATTGACAAAACAACTTGAAAAGGACCAAACACCTTAACGCACAGCACTACAAAATATATACTCATAGAAAATCAGTGTAACAAGATCTTGCACGTCTTATGTCATTAAAGAAATGCACATTATAACAATGAGAAGTAACAAAGAGCACAACCAAGCAATACTAAACCACCATGGAACAGGTCAGAATACAGAACACTGACCCCACCGAATGCCTTTGTGATGTGGAGCAATTCGAACTCCCAATCACTGCTGCTGAAAATGCCAAATGCTACAGCCCATTGGAGAGATGCTCTGGAGGTTTTTATAAAACTAAATACACACTCAGTAATTGGGCTCCTTACTCTTAAACCAAAGAGTTGAGCCTTTAATCTATACAAAACCCTACAAGGGGCTGCTTATTCATAATTTTCAATTATTAGAAGCAATGAAGAGGTCCGTCAACAAGTGAATAGATAAATACACTGAAGTACAAACAATGAAGTATTACTCACTACTATCATCATATCTAATAAAGAGGGAATATGCTAATTGGCCTTCACAGCATCGCAAAGATGGTAATTCACACAGTCAATAAGGAGGGAATATGCTAATTGACTGTCACACCCCTAAGATAGCAGCACCCACAGCCAATAAGACGGGAATATGCTAATTGCTTTCCCGCCCTCAAAGATGACAGTTTCCATGGCCAATAAGGAGGGAATACGCTAAGTGAATGCCACACCTTCAAAGATGGGGGCACCCACAGCCACAAGATGGTCGGCAGGGGAGGGCAGTTGGGAGCGATCAGGATGGCAGGGGAGTGATTAGGGGGTGGTCACACTGGCAGGCAGAAGCAGTTAGGGGCAATCAGGTAGGCAGGCAGGCGAGCGGTTGGGAGCCAGCAGTCCCAGATTGTGAAAGGGATGTCCAACTGCCTGGCAGTTGGACAATCCCCAAGGGGGTCCCAGATTGCAAAGGGTGCAGGCTGGGCTGAGTGCACCCCCAACACCCAAGTACACAGATTTCATGCACCGGGTATCTAGTAAAGAAATAATACATCAAGACATGAAAAGACATGATAGAAGCCAAGATACATAGAACTAAGTGAAAGAATCCAATTTGCCTGCACAGGTAGCCCAGTTGCTTAGAGGATTATACCAATATGCTAAAGTAGTATGTTTGATCTCTGGTCAGGGCCCATATAAAAAAAATCAACGAATGCCCAGTTGAAGTTTCTATCTCTCTCTAATTCTCCCTTCCTCCCTGAATTCAATAAAATCTTTAAAAATATAAAAATTAAAGAAAATGCAGTATTTTGAGAGAGGCTTTCCCGTTTCCAATCCAGGTTGTCCTCTGGCCATAACACATGGTAGAATGTTAGAATATTCTAGAAAATGATTTCCTAAAATTTTATCTTATGATAGCATTGTAATTAGTGTATACACCATGTAAAGTATGCAAACACTGAGTTCCTAATTCACGTACCTCACAAAGCCTTTCTTTTCTACCCTCAATTTGTTTCTCTTTTTAAAAATGTATATTTTTATTGCTTTCAGAGATGAAGGGAGAGGGAGAGATAGAAGCATCATTGATGAGAGAAAATCATTGACTGGTTGCCTCCTGCACACACCATACTGGGGAGGGAGCCAGCAACCCAGGCATTGGCCCTTGATGGGAATCAAACCTGGGACTTTTAAACCTGCAGGCTGGCACTCAATCCACTGAGCGTAACCAGCTAAGGCCCAATTTGTTCTTTGAGAGCAAGAATCTACCAGAAAAAGCAGAAGCCTCTGAGAGATGTTAAAATAATGAAGGAGCCCTGACCAGTTTGGCTCAGTGGATGGAGCGTCGGTCTGCGGACTCAAGGGTCCAGGTTCGATTCCGGTCAGGGGCATGTGCCTTGCTTGCGGGCACATCCCCTGTGGGGAGTGTGCAGGAGGCAGCTGATCGATGTTTCTCTCTCATTGATGTTTCTAGCTCTCTGTCCCTCTCCCTTCCTCTCTGTAAAATATCAATAAAATATATTTAAAAAAAAAAATAATAATGAAGGAAATAAAACCCTGGGGATGGAGTAGGAAATCGGGAAGGAAGTCATCCTTACCCAGGAAAGCCAGGTTGCTGTAGTTTTCCAACATCACATCCATGTATAACTTCCGCTGAGCTGGGTCCAGGCATTCCCACTCCTCCTGAGAGAAATCTATGGCCACATCCCTGAAGGTCAACGGTCCCTGAAAGAAAACACACATTGACCAAGAGGTCACCAGAAGAGTTCATAATGTCACCCAACATGAAAAGAATGTTAGGAGAAGAGGTTTTGACCTTTGGGGTATCCTGAATTATCCAGTAAGATCACTTTGCCCCAGTAACATTCTCTGATGTGTTTTCTGACACTGACACACAAGATGACACATGTCCACAGTACAGATTTTATTTTATAGTTAAATAACCTTTAAAATTAAGGAATGCACAGGGGCATATGGATTTCTGAAGGCTGCATTTACATCGTTCAGGGTCAGTGATGTATATTTCTCAGCGGGAAAGGTCATGCTGGTTGGAAGTATATGGACTTCTCAAGTGTGAAGCAGACCACAACGAAATGAACTTCTGTAAAAATACAGATGCTGCCCTAAGTGGTTTGGCTCAATGGATACAGCGTCGGCCTGGGACTCAAGGGTCCCAGGTTCGATTCCGGTCAAGGGCATGTACCTTGGTTGCAGGCACATACCCAACAGGGAGTGTGCAAGAGGCAGCTGATCCATGCTTCTCTCTCATCGATGTTTCTAACTCTCTATCCCTCTCCGTTCCTCTCTGTAAGAAATCAATAATATATATATTTTTAAAAAAATACAGATGCTGATCCAGGTTCTGAGATGGGGCCTGTGTTTCCACATGTGTCACAAGCTCAGGTTTTACTTGTGATGCCAATATTTCCGCACGATGTGCCAAACATCTGAAAACCCAGAAAAAGAAAACACAAGGAAAAATTCATACAGAACTTTGAACTAAAAGTGTCTATTAATGGAATTCAGTTCTCATGGAATAGGACACATAGGAACTACAATCCAATTTGGAAATTTTTACTGAGTAATCGTAGAAGATTATTCGGCCAGGTCCAGCTGGTGTGACTCAGTGTTGCGTGCTGACCCATGCACCAAGAGGTCACTCACTCAATTCCTGCTCTGGACACATGAGCAGGTTGCAGGCTCAATACCAAGTGTGGGGTGTACAGGAGGCAGCCGGTCAATGATTCTCTCTCATCATTGATGCTTCTATCTCTTTCTACCTATCTCGTCCTCTTAGAAATACATAAAAATATACTTGGGGAAAAACACAAAGAAAAAATAGCTAAAATAAGGTTAACAGTTTAGGCACAGACACACACATTTTACAACTATGAAATCAAAATGGCTTAGTGATTGTATAAATCTCATGAATCTATTTGTATATGATCGCCTTTGTGTTTTATAAACACAATACAGAGAGAAACTTAATGATATAAAGCCAAAAAGGCACACTGTTACCTTTGTGTGGTTGTGAATGCTCCCCTGGGGAGATATTTTCCATTGACTTTTTGAGAGTGAAAGGCAAGCAGAGAGAGGGAGAGAGGTCAATGTGAAGAGAGACAGAGACACATGGATTGGCTGCCTACCACAGGTACCCAGGAGCTACTTGCCCTCGGACAGGAATCAAACCCTCCACCAATGATCCACACCAGCCTGGGGGAACTAATTTTTTCTTACTAATACATTTCTTTCAAAATTTTTACATATCATTAGTAGAGAGCTATGTTGTAGAAATTTAGTAAAACTGATCAGACATTAATGATCTCATTCTTGGAAACTTTCTAGAAAGCACAAAAAGTGACCATGTAGGGTACGTTCATGATGGAAGAATAGAATACAAGGAAAATGTAAAGAATCAAGGCCTGCCGAAACCAGTTTGGCTCAGTGGATAGAGCGTCAGCCTGCAGACTGAAAGGTCCCAGGTTTGATTCCGGTCAAGGGCATGTACCTGGGTTGCGGGCACATCCCCAGAAGGAGATGTGCAGGAGGCAGCTAATCGATGTTTCTCTCTCATCAATGTTTCTAACTCTCTCTATCTCTCTCCCTTCCTCTCTGTAAAAAATCAATAAAATATATTAAAAAAAAAAAGAAAAAAGAATCAAGGCCTAATTGTTTACAGCTCCCATGCAAAAGCTAATGATCTGTAGGAAAGAAAAGTAAGTCTTTCATTTTCTAACGCAAACGTTATCTAAGAGGATGGACACTGCCAGATGTGAAGTGATGGTCTTTGCACAACTTTCATTAAATCGCTACTACAGTGAGGGGAGCACCTCTGCTATGTGAACATCAGGTGGACTGAGACAAAGGGCATCAGGTGACTGAAGCACAGTGAAGGTCAAGTCATCACTGGTGTGAAATTACTGCGAAAAATACCTCAATAAATTTTAAAAATTTCTGGAAATGATCACAAATAAACATTTATTTTTGCATGTGTCAATCCACGTGTACCTTTCACGTTCTGTAAGCTAATAGTAAATTTATTTCCGAAGTCTTTCGTAGTAATCTAATGAGCAAGTTTCTTCTATTTGCCCTTCTTTTCAGAGCTTTCAGAGCTATTCTGAGCAGTAAAATGTGCACCTTCTTACCTCTGATCTAGAGCTCATGCTGCAGCCCCGTGAACCTAAAACCTGCATTTTCCTTCTTCACTGATGCCTGAGCCTCTGACCCCATCCCAGTAGGGATGTTAGACATGGCTGCCTTCCAAGTTTGATCTGTCACAAAAGGGACATTTTGAGCTGAAACCGGTTTGGCTCAGTGGATAGAGCGTCGGCCTGCGGACTGAAAGATCCCAGGTTCGATTCCGGTCAAGGGCATGTACCTGGGTTGCGGGCACATCCCCAGTAGGAGATGTGCAGGAGGCAGCTGATCGATGTTTCTCTCTCATCAATGTTTCTAACTCTCTATCTCTCTCCCTTACTCTCTGTAAAAAATCAATAATATAAAAAAAAGAAAGAAATATTTTGATTAGTTGAAAGTCACCAATTAAAGGTAGTAATGCTTCCTCACCTGTGGAGGGTGACAAAATGAATGCAGACACGGCTCTGGCACAAAGGAGGGAATTATAGCCCAACCAGTGTGGCTGAGATGTAAAGGGCTAACCTATAAACCAGGAGGGCAGGCTCCAGATTTCAGACTCCATACCCAGTGCAGGGTGGGGTGCAGAAGGCAGCTGATCCATAATTCTCTAATCTAATTGATATTTCTATCTCTCGCTCCCTCTCCTTTCCATTATGAAATCAATAAAAAATATTTTTAAAAAAAGAGAGTCAGAAAAAAAAAGAAAAACACACAAAAGAGAGAAATATAGAAACTGCTGACATTGACTGTGATCAATAAAGTAATGAAATAAGAAACAAAAATAACCTGCAAAGGCAAGAACACCAGAAAGAGAGAAATAAATCAACAGATGTTAGAGGAAAAGCAAACACAGTTTCTGTTCAGGACACATCTGATACCTGAGAGGCAGCCATTGGGTCCCGGTTCTGATCGGGGTCTGGGGTTGTTTCCTTAGGTGACACTATGTTGAGGAGTCACACAGCCTTTTAATCAGCTCACCTCACATTCACAGTCAGAAGGACCTGGAAATGAGGAAAAGGACACCCCTCCTGTCCTTGGTCACAGGAGAGAGACAGGAACAATGAGCTCCTACATGGAGACTCTACTGTAAATTTTCGAGTGTATATGTCATGAGTCTCTCCTCCCATAGACTTTCACAAACTCCTACAGAAATGAGGTGAGCTGCTATCCGGACCTCCTAAACCAAAGAGCACCCCCTTACCTCCCCTGAACAAAGTCTGCTCCCCACTCTCACAAAGGCATCCTGCAACCCTCCAGCTAATCCCTGTCCTCACCTTTCAATCACCAAGAGCACCTCAATAACCAATGATGCCCCACCTAGAGGAGCTGTCCAACTCTATGGGGGAAAGCACACCTGAGGGAATTTCTTTAAACTCCTCAGGGAATCTGAGAAGACCCAGAGGATTTATCTCAGGATGTTTTTAAATAATAAATTGTCAGACATAGAAAAAGTAAATCCAGGAAAGTAACACACACACACAAACACACACACACACCACCACCACCACCAACCACAGCAACAAAACTAAAGTTTCGAATATTCCTTTTAAAAAGCATCAGATGATGACAGACACAGGTGACTTACTCCTTGCCCTACCAGGAAATGACAAGGGACCCATGACCAACAGACAAGTATCTCCCCTCTGAGTGAATGAAGTTTGCAATTGGAAGCAAATACTTACAAAATTCCCAAGCCTTATACAGTGGACATTTATAATTGTCATTCAAATCTGCATAACTAAGACAATTCAGCTGTTAAATGAAATATATAAAGTCACACCTAGAAGGTATAACTCAGTGATTGAGCTGGGACCTCTGAACAAGCAGGTCGTGGTTAGATTCCTCCCTGCGGGCAGGTCGCCTCTTCAGGGCCTATGGCCAGGTTGCAGGTTTGATGCCCAGTGAGGGGCCAGGAGTAGGCAGATGATCAATAATTGCCTCTCTTTGCCTCCCGGAGATCAACAGTAATATGTATCTCTAAATACACATATACACTCACACACATAAGGCCACAAGCCTATAGATCCCAACTTAACCATCCACCACCCCATCAGCTCATCCCTCACCGAGATCAGGGTTCCCCTCCTCCCACTACTATGTATTTCTGTTTGTGGATCTGTCTCTGTCTCCTGCTCCCTTTCCCTCCACTGTGGTCCTTTCCTGTGTACCCCCCTCTCCCCTGCTCTTTCTCCCCTTTTCTCTCTGTCCTACACCTGGACCATGAAACTCCTGAAACCTACTTCCCTTCAGGGGCTCTTTCTCCCGGTCTCTGAGGCTCCATCTCCACACACGTCTGCGTCTTCCCCTCCCCACAGCCCGCGGCCCCTCTGCTGCCTGTTCCCCTCTGTCCGCTCCCACAGCTGCTGACTCAGGGCTGCTCCCTCTGCTCCCTCATCCCTGAGCCCCCCTTTCTGTCCCTGCACTCGCTCCCCAACTCTTCTCCTCTGAACCAGAGTCTCTGTCTCAAGTGCCTCCTCCTGTGCGGCCCCCACTTCTGCTCCCCAGGACCCGCTCCCTCTCAGCCCCCCTTCCTCTCTCTGGGCTCCCCCTCCTCCCTGTGTCTCCACTTCCTTCCTCCTCAGGCCACTTTCCCGAGTGACCCCCTCACTCCTACCGTCGCCGTCCAGTCCCCCCCAAACCCCTATGGGCCCCTCTCTGTGGACCCCTCGCTGCCCTCTCTCCCGCCCACGTGTCTGTCTCTCACTCCCTCTCCTGACCCCCCAGCCTGGGTCCCCGCCCCCCGCAGTCACCGCGCCCACAAAGCCCCTCCCTGCGGGCAGGTCGCCTCTTCAAGAGACACCGCGTCCTTCCCCCTGAGCCCCCCCCCATGGACACTGTGCTCCCCGGACAGGCAGACCCCTTATTAAATGGGGGTGGGCCTAGGAGGGGGGTGCAGACCCCCAGGCCGGGAGCCATCCGGGGTCTTTGGGCGGAAAGCGCCGGGCGGGGGGAGGGGCGCAAAGGGCGGGGACCCCCTGGCCCAGACTCTCAGCCCCGCGGGGAGCACCGGCGGCCCCGGGAACGGTTTTCAGCGGGAAAACCGCGCGGCAGGCGGTGGCCACAGCCACAGGCGGAGAGACCACGGGCCGGGGCCTCCGCTACCTCCCGAAGGAACGTGGCGCCCGCACCGCGCAGCCTCCCGGGGCGCGGACTCACCGCTGAGAGAGGCTCCGGGGCGGGGACCCCAACAAGGACTTCAGCGCCGGCAGCGCCCTCAGCCTTCCCTGCGGGGAGGGGGACGGGGAGCGTCAGCTTTAAAGACAAACACCCTCCTCAGGGGAACCGCCACCTTCCCCTCCACGGCCGCTTCCGCGTCTGCAAGGAACTGCGCATGCGCCTCCCTGCGGGGTGGGCGGGGCCAGAGCCTGAGCTGAGCGGCTCCGCGATGGGGGCGGGGCCGAGCCCGGCGGCCGGGCCTGTGCAGGGACAGAGGGAGGGAGGGCGGGGCAGGAGCGAGGGGGCAGCCCCGGGTCCCCGCACCTCCTCCCACAGGGACAGCCCTTCCTGGGGGAGTTTCCCACGTCATTGTCAGGGTTTTGGCTGGGGACGGGGCTGCGAAAGGATTCACAAGGGAGAGAAGAGACAGGAGCAGAGGGAGGGCGTTTATTTTACTTCTTTAAAGGGAGGAAAGGGCCCGATGCCCTCTGATGGCACAAGGCACCCCAGATAGAGGGGCTGTTCCTTTATTAGGGTGCTAGCGAGTAAATGGCAGCTGTGGCAAAAGCATAAAGCGGGAGGAGGAACCTGGAATTCACACAGAAGTTTCCCTGATCCCAGAGGCTGTGCTTAGAGCTACTGGCTGGTCTGCCCTTCAGCTGCAGGTGTCCCAGGGAGGGGTCTTTCCCAGGATCTTCACAAGCCGGGAGCACATTGTTACAGTGAAGTTACAGAGAATTCAAAAGGCGGGCAGATTGGGTTTGAAACCAGAAACTTTCTGCCTCTGATTTGCCTGGATCCTTAAACCCTCAGTGAGGATCGGGGAAGGGAAGGGCAGCCTGCTCTCTCAGCCCCTCCCTGTCTCCCCAAGTGAAGGGAGAGGCAGCTTGAGTTAGGGAAGCAGGTGGATGGGGGTGTCAGATACAGACCCAGATATCCAGTCATGGTTAGGCCCCTGATGAGATAAGGTTCCACCCAACAGAGTGGGAAACAGATTTTAATTTATGTATTTTTCTTTTTTTAAAAAAATATATTTTATTGATTTTTTACAGAGAGGAAGGGAGAGAGATAGAGAGTTAGAAACATCGATGTGAGAGAAACATCGATCAGCCGCCTCCTGCACATCTCCCACTGGGGATGCGCCCGCAATCCAGGTACATGCCCTTCACCGGAATCGAACCTGGGACCACTCAGTCCGCAGGCCGACGCTCTATCCACTGAGCCAAACCGGTTTCGGCAAGATTTTAATTTATGTATTTTTCAAGGGATAAAATCTTTCTAGTTATAAGTCGTGATCTCTGAAGTCTTTGTGTTCTGGGAATGCATTGTAAAATTAATATTTTTTACTTTAATAGTCCCTATAACCTAGTTAATGGAACATTGATATTAATGTAGAATGTCTCCTGTTAGTTTTCCTTATATTTTGGAAGCAGTACAATTTTAAAATCAACAATATTTAAAACAGTTATTAGAATATTAATATTGTCAGTTTACTTATTTCCATCTCCATTTTTGTTTATTTTTATTATTTTCCAGTATTTTCATGAATGTAGGTATTCATTCGAATTTTATAAATCCTCATTTACTTTAAAGATATTACTGTTGCCCTAGCTGGTTTGGCTCAGCGGATAGAGCGTTGGCCTGCGGACTCAAGGGTCCCAGGTTTGATTCCGGTGTAGGGCATGTACCTGGGTTGTGGGCACATCCCCAATAGGAGGCGTGCAAGAGGCAGCTGAATCGATGTTTCTCTCTCAACGATGTTTCTACCTCGCTATCCCTCTTCCTTCCTCTCTGTAAAAAAATCAATAAAATATATTTTAAAAAAAGATATTACTGTTATGCCCAGATTTTGAGATCCCCAATAGACCAACAGGGAGCCAGCCGGGTCCGATGCAAAAGCAGAGAGTCTTTATTATTACAGACCCGGGTCTGGCTCCCGGCCTCTACTGATGCAATGGTGAGAGGAGAGTGCCAGCCCCGTGGGAAAAAGGGGTTTTAATAGGGGGGTGGAGTGAGGGGAGGAGAGATGACTGTGGGCCTTGCTTATTGGCCAGGTGCAAGTCGATTGGCCAGGTGCAAGTCGGATCTTGTTACACAGGATGTGGTCATATCTATGGTGTGCACATCCCTTGATTGTCATTGGTTAGTTTTATGAAATCCTGGGCGTGGCTAGCAGAGGCTTGGGCTTCCAGGAAGAAGCCTTTCGGAGCACATGGCTGCTAGGGTAAGATGGAGGGCATAGCCCTCGCCCTTTCAATTACTTGTTTAGAAACCTGTAATTTAAAGTATGTCAGACCAGAAGATTGTGTTTAATCTATATAAGTATTTAATTGATTTAGGCCAATAAAATATCAACCCTTAGTAATGCCACCTGAAGCCAGTAAACACACCACATACAATAAACAGATAAACACATTGTTAACATCAAAACCATTGAAACCTGTAAAGAATTTTGTAAGTTTATTTGAGCCAAACTGTCGACATATGCCAGGAAGCAGAACCTCAATGAACTGAGATAATGCTCCAGAGAATGGCGGGGTTACATCCGTATTTATACATTGCAATCAAAGGAGGAACATAGGTGGGTTACAGGAAATTCATTGGTGACAGATTAAGGAGGAGGGATAAGCAAAGCAGGGAAACCCTGCTTTGGATAAAAATTAAAACCCTGATTGGATAAAAATTAAAATGATGGACACACACTTAGGTGGGTGCAGGAACAATTAACATGATAATGAAGGAATTTGTGGTATCTGTCCTGGGACCCAGCACATTTGGTTGTGCCCCAGGGGCTCCACATAAAAGGGAAGTCACAAGTTAGCCAGACATTTCAAGGGTATATTATCATAGATGCAAAAAGACGGCCGGAGCCGGTTTGGCTCGGTGGATGGAGCGTCGGCCTGAGGACTGGGGGGTCCCGGGTTCGATTCCGGTCAAGGGCGTGTGCCTGGGTTGCAGGCACATCCCCAGTAGGAGATGTGCGGGGGGCAGCTGATCGATGTTTCTCTCTCATCGATGTTTCTGGCTCTCTGTCTCTCTCCCTTCCTCTCTGTGAAGAATCGGTGAAATATATTTAAAAAAAAAAAAAAAAAGATAGGCTCAGTAAAGGTAAAGGTTGACCTTGTCAGTGAAGATACTGGCCTAGTACGTAACTGCCCACCTTAACTGCTTTTAGTTAAAGTTTAATTTCAGACCAGCCTTTGTGGTTACTTTAAGTCTCTGAGTTTGCAAGACTGCAATGCAGGCCTCTCCTGAGCTTGTCAGGTCAGCATGTGGCCCCTTTCGTCCACAACATAAAGACAATCTATTCTACAAAGACGGTGAAAGACTTACACACTGAAAATGACACAGCAATGCTAAAGGAAGCATATACAAATAAACTGAAAGACATTCCTTAATATGTCCAAGTGTCTACACAATAAATAGATTACTTATTGAAATTCAAGACAGTTTTGGTTGTACTTTAAGCAAAAGAGATTCGGGAGAGGCTAAATACTTCAAATATAGGAAGATTCACTTTTTTACCCTGAAAAACATTTTTTTAAAATATATTTTATTGATTTTTTACAGAGAGAAAGGGAGAGAGATAGAGAGCTAGAAACATCGATGAGAGAGAGACATCGATCAGCTGCCTCCTGCACATCTCCCACGGGGGATGTGCCCGCAACCCAGGTACATGCCCTTGACCAGAATCGAGCCTGGGACCTTTCAGTCCGCAGGCCAACGCTCTATCCACTGAGCCAAACCGGTTTCGGCCCTGAAAAACATTTTACAAAGCAAGAGTAACCAAGTGGTTGTGATCCTGGATTAACACAGGTACATACACCAATGGAACTGAGGGGAATGCCCGAACAGAAACCCTGATGAAGCCTCACCTGCATCCAACAGGAGCCTTCTCTGTGGGACAGGATACAATCCACAGGGGCAAATGCAACCTCCAGAAATGATGTTAAAAGTGATCTACTGAAGTATGGTAGCAATCATTTTGGGTAGAAACTGTAGTTTAACTCTAACCCTGCTGTTTGGTTTCTGTACTTATTTTATTGCTAAAATAATAGAAAAGTTATTTTAATTATCTGAATTATAATAAATCACCCCATTCGATTAAATACCCTATTGATTGTAATGTGAAATCCCATTGGTTGTGGTCATACTGGTCTTAGAAAGCACATTTTCCTTTACCTGGGAAGGACAGCACAGTGATCCCAAGGTCAGAGGGCTCCAGTTAAAGTGTCCCTGTTGACTCAGCGTTCCAGAGACCCAAAAACTGTAATTGAGATAACATGCTTAAGTCTGCTTCTGTAAATGGCTTTTTTGCAAACCAGGTTCCTCATTCTGACATGAGGGCTCTAGATAATGTGTTTCTGTCAATTCAGTGATCCTGGGACCCAAAACTATAATTTAGATAACATGCTTAAGTAAACTGCTTCTGCTTCTGTAAACTGATTTTTTGCAAACCAGGCTCCTCATTCCAAACCTTGGGATGTAAACAATACCTTCGTGATCTTTGCCTATATAAGTCTGGTGTTGGGGCTGGGGCGGGCACTATGAGATCTGGGAGAGCAAAATGCCCCCTCATAGTCCCAGATTTGCAATAAATGTGACTCTTTAATTCAACTTCTTGAGGCGTCCTTGTGTGATCCGCAGGGTACATTACAACACTACCTTCATGGACGGTTTGGCTCGGTGGATGGAGTGTCGACCTGTGGACTGAAGGGTCCTGGGTTTGATTCCTGGTCAGGGCACATGTCTGGGTTGTGGGCTCCATCCCCGGTGGGGGGCATGTAGGAGGCAGGCTTTCAATGGTTCTCTCTCATCATTGATGTTTCTCTCTCTCCCTCTCCCTTCCACTCTGAAATCAATAAAAAATATTATTTTAAAAAAGTGATCTATGCCGAAACCGGTTTGGCTCAGTGGATAGAGCGTCGGCCTGCGGACTGAAGGGTCCCGGGTTCGATTCTGGTCAAGGGCATGTACCTGGGTTGCGGGCACATCCCCAGTGGGAGATGTGCAGGAGGCAGCTGATCGATGTTTCTCTCTCATCGATGTTTCTAACTCTCTATCTCTCTCCCTTCCTCTCTGTAAAAAATCAATAAAATATATTTTAAAAAAAAAAAAGTGATCTATGACATTCAGACAATCCTATTTCTCATTAA